ACCTGGAGCTGGCTGTTTCCGTCATCAGCATAATTCACATCCTGCAACCGGGCAGCCCGACGGCTCGCCAACTGCTTTTATCATCACGGCATCTATGCAATAGTTGAGCAAGCAGCATCTGTTCGTTGACGAACTCCTGCCGTACTTCGCTATCAGATGGAAAGCTATCTGATACCGCTGAATGTGTCTGTACCACCACCGTTGTCTTAATATTAATGTATTTCAAAATTTTAACTTTTTTGGCAAACCGTCATTTCTTAACGACTAGTAGGAAATATCGTGATTTGGAGAATCGAAAGCTGCCTCAAAATCAACGAACTTAATGACCAGCGGTTTGTGGTATCGACTGTACGTTTGCAGCATAAAACACAATGTTAGAATGTGACTGAAGGTCAACGGACCCCGATGGAAGCCATATTGCTCCCTTCTGCTAGAATTCCCTCTGCAGCGTCTAATTCCGCTGAAGATATTTCTTTTAGTGCCCTTCAGCGCCTAGAAGAGGAGATTAATTCCTCTGTGATTTCGGGCATTCACAGAACCTTTTTCTGTATCAGAATAATTATTGCATTACGACACTCCTCCGGAATTATCTCTGGTTACAAAATTTCCTGAAAGATATGCGAAAACACCTGTAATCTTGTATTAGGCATATATTTCAAAAGCTCAAAGTAAACTTTATATGGTCCAGCTGCTTTACTATTTTAACCATTTCTGAAAGCACTAATAATCTCTTCGTCAGTTGGTACATCCACGCTGCAGTTATAATAAGACGTCCTACTTCGATGAAAGCAAAGCATTGAAGTAACTTGCGGCGGCCGGTTCATACGTTTCTGGTAATGTTCCGAAAATCGCTCGGCAGATTTGTTTAATGAGACTGCGTGATTCATCTTTCGAACTAACGAAAGACTGGGTGATATTTCTTTTGCTGTACTGCCGGACTAAAGCAAACGCTCGCCCAAGGTTGTTCTATTTGAACGCTTTTTTGTAACAGCAATTCGTTTTAGCCAGAATATGTTCATTTTTTCAATTAAATGGCATTTTAGTTCGGCTTCCTTCTACTTTGCGAATACCCTAGAAAGTATGGCTCTTTTTCTTTTCCTTTTCTAGCAAGTATGGCTCTTTTCCGTTCAATCAGCTTGTCCTTCTTC